TTGCATTGTTTTAACTATTACTAGTAAAATGACCATATTTCCATATATTCATATATATCAATTGTTTATCTTTGCCCTTTTATTAAGGTCTTAGTGGTAGTCATTTATATTTGAATAAATTGTTAGATATTGAATCTTCATATTATATTTATTTTAGTAATTTTACTGTTGCTTTGCTTCAGAAGAACAGAAATTACAAGTTTCTTTTTAAAAAGCCAAGGATTTTATTTTATTTTATTTTGAAAGTATACAACAGAACAAGTCAGAATAAAGCCAACTAAGAATCGTACAGTGAAATTGGTACAGAACTTCACAGCAGGTTACCAGGATAACAGTAATACGTATCATAGTATATTTTGTTATCTTTATAATAGTTGTTCTTTCAATCACGTATATCAAAATGAGATGAAATATAGAACACTATAGAACTTATCAAAACAAAATACTGAATAGAGCAGTACCATTAATCAGAAAAGAGCAAAACAGTAATAAAAATATTTGCCTTCAAAGAAATGGTAGACGGAAGTCCCCCTTATTTGCTATGGTCAACCTCCCAGGAGATGCTCAGATTTCTGGTTTCCATTTGCTAATGGGGGGGGGGGAGAGAAGGAGGAGGATAGGGGAAGTGGGATATTTGACTCTAGGCCATGTAGCAGTAGGTCACTATTGCTAAGCAGGGAGGCAGGATGGTCATTTGTTTTCACAGCATCCTCAGTTCCAGCATGGTGTGGATCTCAGGAGACACTGCTGGTTCTCCCCCTGGAAGGGCTGCAGTCTGCCACCCTGCCTCCGCTTACCAGGGAGGGGAGGTGCTGGCTTGGCTTCCCAGAGTCCTAAGTTCCAACATGGCGTGGATCTCACGAGACACTGCTGGTTCTCCCCGTGGAAGGGCTGCAGTCTGCCACCCTGCCTCCGTTTACCAGGGAGGGGAGGTGCTGGCTTGGCTTCCCAGAGTCCTAAGTTCCAACATGGCATGGATCTCAGGGGACACTGCTGGTTCTCCCCCTGGAAGCGCTGCAGTAGGCCACACTGCCGCCGCTTACCAGGAAGGGGAGGTGCTTGCTTGAAAGCCAAGGATTTTCAACAGTCTGAAAATTTAATAGTGGCCATTCCCATTTTTGATTATCTACCTAAGTATCTGTGCTAGGGATTGAGCTCAAGGCCTCATGGATGCTAAACATGTAATACTGAGCATGTAAAACAGTATTTTACACTTTTAGTGGAAAAATGACACACTTACATATAGTCTACAAATAAATATTGAATTTCATTTAGTATAAACAAAAAAATAACAGTGTAAGTTAGTGAAATGTATTCTCTACAATTTTTTTTTTCTTGCTGCTGTTCATTGTTGCAGGACCATTAAAAAGGTACATATTTGGTATTTTTCTTACCTCTATTCAAAGTCACTTTGGAAAGACCAAAATTTGTCAATTTAATATGACCCTCATTAAAAATCAGTATATTGCCTGATGTCAAATCCCTGTACATAAAACAAAAGGCAAGTAGATAACTAAAGAAAAGACTAGTTTTATTTTTTAAAATTTTTTTTTGGTTTTTTTTGTAACAAGTTCTTGCTATGTAGTTCAGGCTGGTTTTGAACTCACAGCAAACCTCCTGCCTGCACCTCCTGAGTGCTCAGATTACAGGCATGCACCACTGCGCCTAGTGAAAATCTAGGTGTTTTGGTTTGGAGACAGGGTTTCACAGCGCAGTTCAGTCTGGCCTTGAACTCACTTTGTGGCGCAGGCTGGTCTCGAACTTGCAACAATCCTCCTGCCTCAGCCTCCCAAGTGCTGGGATTTCAGGCATGCACCACCACGCCCAGCTGAAAATCTAGTTTTAATATTAAAATAGCTGAGAAAAAAAAAGAGTTATAGAGGAGGCAAATTCTATTTATTTCCCCTAAAATAAATGTATTTATTAGTGGCTTTGCAAACAATGGGAGAACTTTCAAAAGAAGCTCTTTGGTACATCTGAATCCACAAAATGTTAAATGATTTAATTTTAGATTATCTGTGACATTGTTATATTTTCCATGAAAAATAAATAAATCACATTACATAAAATAATCCACAAGCCAGTTCAAAATTGTGTATCTTCTTTTCTGTTAATGTAAGATTAAGCTTTAACAGAGCAGAGTAACTTAACCTTTCTTTGCACAGAACAAAGTAGTGTAAATCAGCTAGGACTACACAGTATGGAACTTTTGTATGAGGGCAAAAGAGTGGAAAAGAACTGAAATCTTTCCACTGAAATATTATGTTCATATTCAAAGTAACATAATTTCAAACACAGGGAGACAAAACAGTAGGTAAGAGAATTTCTAAACTCACACAAGTTACTATTAAACCTTAATCTGGAAATATGGGCAAATGGTTACAGTAAATATTTGATATCCAAACATTTAACACATAATTTGATTTACCTCTGGATGATTTCATGTCTATGAAGTTAGTTGAGAGCCATCCCTACTTCAGAAATATACTTCACAGCCATCTCTTCATCAAAATAAGCATATATATGAAGAAGAGACTTGACATCTCCACCAAAAAGATATTCCATTACCTATTAAAAAGAATTTAATAGCATGAAATAAAAATATGCTTACTGGGCCAGGGATTTAGCTCAGCAGCACAAGTGCCTGCCTGGCAAGTGCAAGGAGGGTCATGAATTTGATCCCTGGTACCAATAAATAAATAAATAAATAAATAAATAAATATGCTTACTTATAGAGTATTTGGGCATTATAGTATAGTTGTGTAACAAAGCACATTGTGGGGGGGGGTCTTTTCTTGAGTCAGTGTTGCTGTGTGCAGTTCAGGTTGGCCTTAAGATCACTTTTGTAATTGAGGCTGGTCTTGAACTCACAAGGATCCTTCTGCCTCAGCCTCCCAAGTGCTTGAATTATAGGCATGTGCCATCACTCCTGGCTATAAAACACAAAGAGTGGACAGACAGCTTCAAATACACTGCTGCAAAGATGAAAAGATTGACATAGGACATATTTCAGCCTGCTCTTTAAATAAAAGCACATTCCAGATTTCACAATAGAAAATGTGAAGAGAAAAAGGAGGCTTGTTTAATGAGATCTTTGGTTGTACAGCAGCTTAAATACTGATTTATTGCAAATGGATAGAATTAAATGTAACCAGCAAGCGTGTGTTGCAAACTTAAATGAAAACCCTAAACTTAAGCCTGGTAAAGGTCAAATTAGTGAAAAGCGTCCAGAAGATACATGAAATGAATAGATAATACTAACGTTTAAAAATTTTAGGAATGAAATTATCAGAAAATAATGAAGTTCCCGCCTGGTTAGGTCAAACTTGAAATCAGTGCTGACAAACTAATCATTTTGCTGTGATAGAAAAATTTCAGCAATCTGTATTTCGAAGCAAGCGACAACCACCAACTACTTAAAACTTTTTGGATTCAGAAATATCACTCTGCTGTGGGTTAGACATGAATCAGAGCAGCGGCTTCAAAAGTTCCTTTGCCCGCAGTTTCCTCCTTCGTTAACTCTGGACCGGGCGAATATGGTCAGGTGTTGCTATTTTCCCTGGGCAGTGGATGATTCCTAAGATACGGAGAGAAAGGCAGGGCAGAGGCCAGACACCTCACTGACTGCTGCGGCCAGCCCAAAAGAAACAGTCGGCTCTGCAGGCTTCAGCAAGCCCTGCGGCCCCCAAATCAGGGGGCAGAAAAGAAGACGGAAGGACCTAACTCCCTTTCTCGCCTCTTCCCACACTTCCTACCTTGACTGCGTACAACTTGTCGCCTTTCTGCCCCAGATACACTTTCCCGAAGGCACCACGACTAATGGGCTTCACTATGGTGAATTCTTCAATGGAGGGTGGTCTTGGAACCGGGATTGTATTCATCCACTCCCCGGTCGCCGTGCCTTCTGTATACTCCTTGCTCCCAGCGGAGGGCTCCATCGCAGGACAGCGCCCTGGACTCTCCCTCAGCCACGGCTCCCGCCAACTGCGTTCAAATTTAGGCCACGCCTACTGCGCGCGCAAGAGTGACGTCACCGCGGTGCCGCGCGCGACCCAAGGCAGCCCCGCCCCTGCCGCCCCTGAGCCGCGCGAGCCGATTCCGCGAGCGCCGAGGTGCAGGCTAAGCCGCTGACCTCTCGAGGGCTGTCGCCACGGCCCACTGACATCATTTGTCATGAGGGACGAGGCCCAGACAGTTGTTGGAGAAGAGTGGGGCAGCTGGGACCCCGAGACCCGAATCACGGGTTGTATGATGCGATTGCTGCGCGACTGCGGGATCCGTCTGGGCCGGAAGTTCCCCCTCCCCGGCGGCTGCCAGCCCCGCCCCGCGAGACGCCCACGTCAGCTGGGCTGTCCCCCAAAACTTGGCCGCGCTGTGCGAGTCTCGGGAGAGGGAGACGCTAGACGTGCAGGACGCGTTGACCCAGTCTAGTGTGATATTCCAGGATAGAATTCGCCTGACGTGAACGGACAAAGGCCTACAGGGAAACCTCCGATTTATCGTGAGGAAAAGAGTACACTACATTGTAGCAACCAAACGCTGTTAGCTCGTGGCTCAGCTGTGACGAGGAAATACGGTGAGAATGCGATAAGGAAGCTGGAGGACGTCTGAGAAAGGAGAAGTAGGGTGAAACCCTTTCCTTAAGGTGAAAACACACAGCGGAGGGGCTTGGGGATCCCATTGCTTGCCAACACAAAAGCTCGGGGCTGCCTGCAGACGCACGGCGCGCCCGTGCCCCGGAAGTGATGTTGCGTCCGCGCGTTGGCTTCCGGGGCAGCCTGCAGTGGTAGCAGCCGTAGCGGGAGGCGGCCATTTTTGTTGCTGGGTAGGGAGAGGGGCTGGGTAAGAAGAAAAACGATTTAGGGACGGGCGCAGCGCCTCCCTGCCAGGCCGAGGACGGAAGGACAGTTTCGGCAGGCGAGAGGGGTTGCTGAAGCCCGGAGGACATGTCTTCCCTGTCGAGCACGGTGCAGCCTCAGGTGAGCCCGGCCCGTGGCCGGTTTCCAGTTGCTTTCGTAGAATGTGTTTCGGAAGCGAACCGAAGAGGGAAGTGATAATCCCACGCGAGTTCTGCGGGTGAAAGTGGATAGAGCTGAGAGTGGGGCCTGAACGCTGCCAAGGAAGCATTTGGGGGCGGAGGCGTGATAGAAGCGTGATGGGGACCGTGGCCTACCGGGTTGATCGCGTGAGATTTCTGCCGGAGAACCCGTCGAGCATTGTCCCAATCACGTATTCCGGAGTGGGGCTTGGGGCTATGGCTGTGCCTTGTTTACAGAGGGAGCAGGTAATGTTCTTTGTTTCCGACTCTTTTCCTTTTCAGTAGAATTTTAAACCGAATATTCTGTAATTTGAATAACTACCATAAGTTTTTCTCTTTTTGGTTTGAAATAACATAAAGATTAGTAAACTTCCCGCATTTTGAATTTTGATTCAGCTTCATCTCCATCTTTTTGTAAAGCAAAAAAAAAAAAAAAAAAAAAAAAAAAAAGCAGGGAAAAATGATTTTTGGGAGCGCTCTATTACCCTTTTCCAAGAATAATCACTTGTGACAATGCTTTGTTCTTAATTCACTTCAAAAGTCTTTTTGGGTGGTACCATTTTGATAGATTTCATTTTTTCTTGAAAGTGCTCATAATTAGCAGACAGGTATTTTTTGAAACCCTTTAAATTTTGTTGTTTAAATTGACACCCTTAACTTTAAGAGTATGGTTGTGTTTCTTTGTTTGGAACTCTGTGATGCTAGTAGAGTAATGACTGGATAATAGAAAACGTTGTGTTTGTTGGGTAGTGGGTGAACAAAGCAAATGTAGAATCTTTTATTAGTTAGTTCAATGAAGTAAAGAGGAGTAAGAACTAAGTGACAATGAGCAGTTATCTTAGACTTAGAGCAGGGTGTCAGAAAATCCTCGGGGAGCAAAGAGTTTTATAGATTGGAGGAACAAAAAAGACTAATTTCGCTGGAACATTAGTGATTAAAGGTAGCAGTGTCAGGCATTAGATTTGCAAGAAGCCTTAAGAGAGTTTGCGTTTCTGCTTCATTTTAAGCCCATTAGTTACGGAGAACTGGTCTTGCTGTGCAGTTCATGCTGGCCTTGAGCTTACAATGTAGCCCAAATAGTCTCAGACTTGAATGATCCTCCTGCCTCAGCCTCCCTAGTAGTTAGGATCACAGGCAAGATTTTCAATTTTTGCTAGATCACTCCGACTTCTTCCCATGTGGAATATGAGAGGGCAAGAGTGGAACTGTTAATTAAGGATGGTATTGCAAGAATCCAAGAAAGGAATCTTGCCCTACTCTTCGTGGCAATGATTATGAAAAGAGACAGTTTCATGAGAGACAGATGTTTTTGGTTTGATCATCTGGCATACAGAGGAGAAGGTGCTGTGTACTGAGATGATAGTGTCTTGAGGAGTCTTGGCATTTGTTTGAGAAAAAGTGTGACATGGCCTGTTCACATCAAGAGTGCCCAATTTTCTCTCTCAGCTGCGTGGAGAGTTAGTGCTTTGTGGTATTGATAGCGATGGCAAAGTGAGTTTGTGTCCTCTTGGCAATCTTAACTGGGCTTTCATTACCCAAAGACACATATTTTACCATAAATTTTATACTTTTTCTCTTCTATAGTAACATAGGTATTTATAATTTTAAAAAGATCATCTGATAGTTTGTTTTGTTTATATAGCAGTATATCAGGGGTTGAAGAAGGCCTGTGTGATGAGGTGCCTTTTAACTGGAATTTTCAGTTGCATTCCCTGGGTTAGAATTCTTTCTTATGCCAGCTGTGTGACCCTAGATATGCCACTAATTTTACCTGCATTCCTACAGTCTTCCTCTGTTAAATGAGAAGTATCTTAGTCTGTATCAGCAGCAGAATACCTTAGCCTAAGCAATTTAGGTAATGTGCAGAAATTTATTGCTTCCCAGTTTTGGAAGCTAGGAAGTCTGTTACCAAGGTGCCAACGTCTGACAACATGGTAGAAGAGTACCAGAGCAAGAAGGGAGAATCTTTCGGTGATAACTCTTCTTAAAGATTTTAAAAGCAGGATGTGATGGCACATGCTTGTAGTCCTAACACTCAAGAGGCTAGGAGAACTGGTCTTGCTGTGCAGTTCATGCTGGCCTTGAGGCCAGCCTGGGCTGCAAAGTGAGTTCAAGGACAGCCTGGACTGCATAGTAAAACCTTGTCTCAAAAACACCAAAAAAAAAGTCTTAAAGTCTTCTTAATATATTTAAATCACAGGAAAATTATAATGGTGACTAATTTTTATGATTATTATGATGATTAAATGAGATGAGTAAAACATTACAAGACATGGTTTTTAGATCCCATTTAGCTTACTCGGTTATGCAAATATTGTTTCTTAAACATTGCTCTGTTTTGCTGGAATACAATATTGAATAAAATTGAAAAAAATGTTACAATATAGAAAAATTCTTATTCTGCATGGAATTTACTTTCTATTTGGAGACTGGTAAAATAAAAATAAAATGTTTCTCCATAATCTCTGTGGTCTTCCTGGCACAGAGTTTCTAAAATTGTTACAGTTACTTGAATTACTCCTAATTCATGATCTTTTGTTGATCACATCAGTGTTGAAGCAAATTGAGATGACTTGAACTTTAAATAGCCTCAGAATGGGACTAGGAACCAAAAAGACTAAGTAACTAGGGAATGTTCTTCCATTCTCATACCTGGAGAGGAAGAAGGGCAAGGCTGGAGTTTCAGCTGTATTAGAAACTATTTTTCTATTTTTGTTTTGAGACAGAGTCTCTCTGTGTAGTTCAGGCTAATCTTGAACTCACTATGTAGTCCAGGCTGATCTTGAAGTTAGCATGATGCTCCATCCTTAGCCTCCTAGTGATGCAATTACAGGTGTGTGCACCATCATGCCCAGCTTCCATTAGAAACTCCTACACCAGGAGATGGAGCTGGTATGGCGAGTGGCTGGAAGCAGGAACCTTGTACAAGAGATTCTTTTATAGTTTGCCTGATGTACCTTTTCATTTGGCTGTTCATTTCTGTTTTGTAGTGTAGACTGGTAAACGTAGTATTTTTCTGAGTTCTTTGAGCCAAGTAATCAAACTGGAAAGGATTGTTTATAACTGGTTGGTCAGACATGGTTGGCCTGGGAATCATTGCAGACATTTGAACCCGGGGCAGTGTTGTGGAACTAAGCTCTAACCCTAACCTGTGGGTGGTTTGGGTGCCATCTCCCAGTGGTTAATGTCAGATAACTAATAATGTCAGACAGACAGCTAATAATAGTGTACAGATAATTAAGTAAATATATGTGAAGTATTACTGAAAAGTGTCAAGAAGATAAATAGAGCCGAGAAACTGGGTAGGAAATAACCTTTTAGGAGAAGATTGTTGAAATACTAGGGTGGGTAGGGGACTTTAGAACGTGAGCTGAAGGGAAAATGAGAGAGCAAGTTGTGTTCTGAATGGTAGTGCAGAGGCCTGGGGGAGCCTGTTGGTGTTGCAGGAAGAGCAAGAAGCAAAGAAAAGAGAGAGGATTTGATGGGTCACATTTGTTAGAACTGGCTTTTTCTGGAAGTAGAAGAGAAGCTGTTGTGGGGTTTCGAGCAGAGGAGTGATACAAACAGATTGGTTTAAATATGGTCTCTTTAATCCTGCACTAGGAATATACGCAGCCACATAAGGGCAGAAGCAGCGACTTTGGAACAGTTGCAGAAATTCACACGTAGATGGTGGGGATTTAGAACAAGATGGTGATAGGGAAGGAAAAGCATAGAATTCAGAAAGTGTTTATGGTTAACTTTTTTTTTTAATATTAGAGAAGTATTTCACTCTGTGACAGTGTCATATATTTTACAATTCTTCTAATGGTATATTTCCCCAGCTATTGAAGAATAATATTGGTTGGGCATGGTGGTGCATGTCTGTAATCCCAGCACTTGGGAGGGTGAGGCAGGAGGATCTCTATGAGTTCAAGGCCTGCCTGAACTGTAGGCCAGTCTGCACTACACAGTGAGACACTGTCCCCAAAACCACCTCCTCAAAAAAAAAGTATTAATAAAAATTACTTCTAGGGGCCAGATGTGGCTAGAATTACTCCTGTAATTCCAGCACCTGGGAGGTAGAGGCCAGGAGGATCTTGAGTTAGAGGCCAGTTTGGGCTACATAATGAGTTCAAGGACTACATGTATATGATAATACTTTTGATTCATAGATCAAAATTAATAAACCTGAAAGTAGTAAATGAGTGCTTGTTGTTTTTAACATGTAACCTGTATACTTGTGGAGGAATAGTACTGGGATCAAACACAGGGCCTGGAGTGTGCTAGGCAAGTGCCCCACCACAGTGCTATACCTCCAGCTCAAAATACAGTTTTACTATTCAGCATATTTTTAACTTTTTTTTTTAAGAGGGTAAAACAAAACAGAATAAAGCAGATCAGAAGAAAGCAATGTAAGTGACACAGGATTTTAAAAAAGAAAACAGGAGACAATAGTGGCCACCATAAAGTCTTGGCATTCAGCTAGTTGTCTATCTTGATACACAGTGAATTCATACAAAACAAAATAGTAGAAAAGTGATCAAAACAGGATAATGAAAGCATTACAGGCCTTCAAAACCAGACAATAGGAAAATCAGCAATGGCTTCCATAATGTGTCTTGTTCTCTTCAAAATAACTGTCGCTACCTTCATATATGTTCAAATTAAATAATACAAAACAGACTAAAACCACTCTAAACAAAGAATAGAAACATTACTGGATTTCACAGCATGACAATAGGAAATCAGCCATTGTTACCATAATGTCTCTTTTTCTTCAAAGTAGCTGTTTAGACCTTCACGTATAATACAATCAGTGCTGGTAAACTGCTTAGTAAAAGTTCTAGGTATATATAAGCCTCTACATGTACATCTGTCCTTTCTGCATTAGAGGGAAAAACAAAAACAAATTACTAAGGAAACAGGAAACAAAAAGGACAACAATAGCAAAGAGCCCAAAACAATGACCTTCTAAACAAGGTGGTAGGAACATAACTAAGTATCTTAGTTACCTTTTACTCCTTGCTGAAACAAAATACCTGATGCCCAAAGTTAGGGAAGGAAAGGTTGGAAGTTTCAGTTCATAAGGAGTTGGCTCCAAGGCAGCATAGCATGGTGGGGCAGGCATTCATGGCTGCTACAAACAGCAAGAGCCAAAGCAAAAAAGACACCTTCATCCTGCCAATACTTTGTATCTTGGCTCCACCCATGGATGGGTGAAACACCACGAATCAAGCGCTAGACAACAAACTAGTCATAAATGC